TTTGATATTGTTCTCCGAGACGAAAATTGTGAGGCACTGTCAGTCAACTACTACTGAGGAAAAACGGCACGAATAAATGAGTCCTAGCAAAAGGCCCAGAAAAGATAGCAGCAAAACAATGCTAGCATGAAATCCATAACTCCTCTGTCACCGACTTTACTCTCAATAGTAAAAACGAGCCGACTAAAGCCTGAATAATTTGGAAACCAAAGAAGATTTTGAAGTATCGAAACTTTGTAAAATTGCAAAACTGAAGGCAAAATCAGGAATTGTGAAGACAGAAGGAATTAAGAGGCGGGGAGAAATGAACAACAAAACAAACTTCTCGGCGGACACATTAACAGCTGATTTCAAGAGAATGGGAGGAGCGAGAAGTAAATGGGATGAGACCCGACGCACCCTCTGGCGCTCTTTAGCAGCGCGTTCCTGAGCTTCATGTTCAGCATGAAGACGCGCTTCCTGTTCAGCGGCCTCACGAGCGAGTCGAGCCTCGGCAGCCAGTCGGGCTTCTTCAACCGCACGCTCGCGAGCAGCCTGAATGGCAGCTTGGCGTTCAGCCTCGCGCCGCTCCTTCCGCTCTCTCTCCTCTTCCGCCTCGCGTCTGTCCAGAGCATCCATAGAACAGTAAAGAATCAGGACAGTCTTACTCAAGCTACTGATTCATAACCAAAATATCACTGCTACTCCTAGACTTTTCCACACTTCATTTTAGTTCCCTTTTTGAAAGTCTGTGCCCGTATGCTTCAAATGCCAAGCATTATCATTGACTCCTTCTTGTAAATTTATTGTGGAAGATCCAGCGAGAAAGCCCATTTCATGATTTGTGAAACGGTTAACTTAAAAATTGGCTTTGAGTGCACCAGAAGGGGTGAATGAAGCCGTTTGTTATCAAATAATAACGACACCGGTCTCAGAAACCCTTCATAGAAAGGTTGCGATAAGATACCAGAATCAATCACCATCATCAGACAGGAGACTGACGCGCTAACCGCCTAAACATGGCGCCACCGTCGAGTGAATGAACAAGTTCGTTGCACACAGTATGAACATGCGAAATCGGTGATAATGAAGCTAAACGGAACCTGATTTTTCTCGAGCACAATCGTTTCAAAGTGGTGTCGATTTAAAACAAGTTTATTACTTCACCACAAAAAGAAGAGTCGGTTTCCTAATTCAATTCAAAAATCAACTTCCACTCATGTCATTTTCCCATAAAATAAAGGCAGATCGGAAAAGCTAAACTTCCCTCTTATGATCTACCAGTAGCATTTCGCCAAGCGCTAGACATTGATTGGTGACTAAGGTGGAACGTTTCACTGAATGCCATGCTAAATGTGAAAATTTTCGTGAGCGACAATAATCTGTTCGTCCAAGGTTCCATTGCTAAGTAACGCGTCGGAAAAAATCTTTTGCAATTAGCACGCGGTAAGACAGTAGAGAGCGATAAAATTAAAAAACAACATCACATTCGTTTTCAGTATCCTTAAAGGGATAATAAACTATAAACCTGTAGCATGCATTTCTGTTTTATTGCCCCATAATAAGTTTTAAGCAACTTAAAAGGTCGAAAATACATTGAGACAAAGTAAAGTTGTTCATCAACACGGAATAAAGGGCCGCCTTTATTTAAAGATGATTGCCGACGCTTTCTAATGGAAATTGTTTTGAAAAGCAGCGCATGTTTAACTCAAACCAGTGAGAACTAGAATTGCCACACAAAAAAAACCGAATCACTCACCGCTCTTGTTCAGCCAATCGCTCCTTAGCGAGTCTTCGTTGTTCAGCCATTTTGGCACGATATATGGCCTCTTCTTCCTCTGGTAAACAGCCACCCTCGCCGGATCCCGTGGTCGACGCTTTAATAGGGCCACTTGTAAGCTGAAGCGCTGGCTTTTGCGATTTCTCTGGAACTGTCTCCTCTTCCAGGCTGTCACCATCTCCTGAGAAGGTGGATTCCTGCGCCTCATCGTGGTCAACTTCTGCTACGACATCGTTAAGAACTTCCGTCTCCTGAACCTCTTCTTTATTCTTCTCGTCTACCACAACCCCGTGAACTCCCTTCTCCTCCTTTTCCTCAGGGAAATTCTCAGGCTCCGTTTTCTGACTTGTGTTTTCAGACTATATAAGGACAAATACTCATGGAAGGACTTGCATTGATGAAATCACACATTTTCTAAAATACGTGCCCAACATACCACCTCTGTGGGCGATGTCTGTGGTGCTTTTTCCACATCATCACCAGTCATGGATGGCTCGGTGACAGATCGTGAAACAGCGTCAAGGTCAAATTCTGGTTGGGTTTCAACCGAAGGAGATGGTTCGGTTTTCAGATCCTCCAATTGTGAGACGGTATCTTGTGCTGAAACAGGGACTTCCAAGGATCTCGTGAATGGTGCTATAAAATCAGAAATGTAAAAAAACAATGATGGTATGAATAATGCAATGGGACCAGGAATTCCGTGTGGGACTTTTGGTTATAATCACAAATGATAATGGTGGGCAACACGTGATGCCAGTAACATCTTCTAAAGCATAAAATTAGTACACTTGCTAGGATTGATGTGCCATCTTTTACTGCACAAATCACCCAATAAACCATAGAAATGTGCAAAGCAAACACAGAAGCACCTTAACCAAATATTATCACAAGTAATGTCATTGAATATGAATAGTTTTAAAAGGGTGAAAAGAACATTTAGTTAGCATAAAGTAGCCCATTCAAGTGCTAACATAGTGAAGGCTATCAGTTGAGAGGTGTCACTCCGCTAAAACGTTCTTTTCCTCCTAAAATTCATGCAGCTAGTGGTCCACCTTTACTCTCATACATCCGACAATATTTTCGATGACAAACTTCCAAAAAAAACCTTACCTTCTGGGGAATGTAGCAACAGATTCTCTAATGATTAATTAGCAGAAAGCACATCCTATGGACAGGTTAATCCAACGATACGCAATAAAAAGGTTAGTACGACCTTATTAACTCTGAGCTATCACCTCATTCTCATGTTCTCTGACATGGTCACTAATGAAGGGGAAGCATATTTAAATAGAAATCACCAATAAAATAGGTAATATAATAGTTGATATGAAGAGGGCACAAGAGTTAAGGATGAATCGGCGATGTCAAAAGAACAACTAAGGCCAGAGGAAAAAGACCGTCAAATTGGTTGTCTGGCGCCTCCGTTCAAGTAATTAATTTCAAAGTGGTTTGAGCACCTTGCAAGATATTGCCTGGTCCTAATGAACGCTCACCAGCTACAACTCTTCATCAAGGTTCTTAGTACAAGAAGTGAGAGACGAATTACTACGTAATCTACAGGATATGATGATCCTTGCATTTAAAGCGATTCAAACAATTGTCTGGAACCAATATAGAAGTGTATGTAAGGGTCGAAATAAACGAAGTCCAAAACATGACAGAGGCTAGAAAGCATAACGATAAGTAGTAACATGCGTTGTCAATCAACGGCTTGGGTAATCGAAAACCAGGTTTAGTAAGACCGCAGTAATTTATCCAAAAGGAGACAGACATTTACCTGACAAACATTTAATCCAAGAACAGCTTTTGAAAGACAGAAAATGAAGTAGTAAGCATGAATTCCATGGCAAATTTCCACAAGAACCACATTATTCACTGGACATAACCTACTTGTACAATAAACTCAGTTAATATAGAGTAACTCACGTGATTCCGAGGATGTGTCGATTGGCTTTGTTTGATCCACTTCTTTCAATTTTTCTACCACTTCCGCGGTGCCCTCCTCACCAAACAAAGAGGTCTTCTTAATTGGTACTGGTTTTGAGGACTTTGAGAGTGCCGGTTTCAGCGTTGGTGCCTCAGTCGGTCGCGCTTTCGCCGTAGTAGTCTCTCGAACCCGTGAACGCCCCCGACCTTGACTTGCCGCAGTAGTGCTGATGGGAACAGAGGGTCTTCGACGCGGCAGAGTGGTTGAAGTGGTCAGGCCAGTGCGATCCTCACCCCTCGGCGGCTTTTGGTCATGCGAAGGTGCTCTTTGGCGATTCATTGAGGCTGTCGTTGGCGCTGCATAGCTGTTGCAACGATCCCCTAGAAATATATAAGTAGTGTTGCTAAATCTAACCTCATTTTAAACTTAAACGCAGAAGCAGTTCTCTTGACGCTAAAAAGTAGGATTCGTTCCAATTAGCTCAATATCCACTTTCATCGCCAACAAACAGGTGTAAAATGAGGACTAGCAGTCACACTAATTAAGGCTGGTCTCCCATCCCTTAGGTATTTATTACTACCCCTAGCCTTTGACTCTTTCTGCGTTTCAACTTCAGGACCTAAATGAATGTTAGCTTATAAGGAATTAACAAATACCACCTGTTTCGTTTAGAATGCAAGTAGCACGCTCCACCTCCCAAATTAACTATTTATACACCTTCCTGCCAAACCCATAACACCTGCTGCATTCGCGCCGTGAAACCGGTATTTATTCATTCTGCTACTGCTACGGTGTCCAGTAAGAAAGCGAGAGGTTCGAGGACCACAAGCAAAACTATTCTCAATATTGGTTCAAGTCTATTTGCTACATTATGATAACTCCGACTACTGTAAGACACTTCCAAAAGAGGATGCGAATGATTCCGATGATGTTGCTGGCCCCATAAAAACGAAGTGCGGCAGTAAAAACGTTCGAAAAGTTGGGGTCGTAGTGACCTACGAATAACTAATAAATCGAGTGCCAGGTTTCGTGGATACATGTGTAATCGGCTTACGTAAGCGCCATCGGTATGTGTACGCACGAAGCTAATCAGGCACGTGAGGAGTAAGTGTAAAATGACTTCGTAATGAAAAAGAGACTACATTGCAATTCTTACGGACGCATGGAACAATTAGAGAAGTGCGGCACTGGACGAAACATTGAAGAGACTCGCCGTTAAAAAGAGCACTTTTACAAACTTAGGGAAACAAAAGTAGAGCATTTAGTAGAAGTAACTTAAGGAGCGAAAAGGGCCAGCAAGAACCACTTCCGAAATATCGAGCACTAACAGGAGGTAATGGAGGCTTTCACGCCTAATGACTTTATTTGCAGGCCTAACAAAAAAATTCGCAAGAAAGCATGGAGTGGAACCAATGTGCTCTTCCACTATGGCTCGTTTTAATTTCGTTAACAAGTAACCTCCACGTTGTTTCGTAATAAAACCTGCTCCAAGGATACGGGATTTTTCAGCACAAACAAAACGTGGCGGCACAGCAGTTCAAAAATAGCGCCTAAAAATGCAAACTTCTAGTGACACAATAAGTGAATGATCCAAAAGCAAAAACACACAAAGTGTGATTTCACGCCATGTGCTTCTCATTTGCCGAATCAATCAGAATAAGTGGATAAAATGCAAATCTAACTCCATTGCAGCCTTCACGAATCATCCACAAAACGCATATTTTTTCTAGCATTACAATGGGATGATGAAATTTTGAAACCCACCTACCACTATTTACTACCGTGAGACTTCCCCGAACACGCAAGCGCTACAAGTAACAAGGAGATGGGAAGGTGAGTTCTACGCTCTTCTTTGCAATTGCGTTGGCAAGTCGCCAATATTCCTCATCGTACCAAGTTCGCACGAATCGTTTACCTTCAAAAAATTACTAGGTCAGACAGTCTTTAGCCTTTGACACAAATGGGAAGGCAACATTTTTGCCGCTACTGTTAATAAGTGAAAAAATATCGCTTAAATATCATAACAACTGCAGACTGCAGTGACTACAACGATACCATTTCAGATACACCCACGTAGTTGCAACACCAGGATGATTAACACCATTCAAAGCATGAGCCAGTGGCAGTGTGAGTGTTAAGGAGGTAATGCATCAACAATGTATCACCTGCATACACAGTTATGCACAGACCTGAAGTACGGTGTCCGCGTCATCAGATGTGTAACTTTTCCCATGCACACACAAAGTTATGTAGCAGGATCATGTATGCATGACGCATTCAATCAAAGACATTCATTCTAGAAGTTAATATTTACCTCTTATATCCACCTATTCAGCCAGAAGTTAAAATTTCAAGGTCGCTATCGTGATTAAAACGAAGTCCAAGAGGGCGAATCATCAAAACATGGAGAAATTTGTACGTATACTACCTAGCTGAATAAAACGCCTACACTGCCTTCGCGTGCACAGTTCGAGATCCATTCAAATTATAACGTAAATAGAGAGTCGAGTTTAAGTTTCCTAAGCAATTTAGGGACCTAGTTCACTAATGACAAAGGCTGATCCACCAACCTAACCTCTCAGAACACAAAATTTCAGCTCATAGGATAATAATGTAAACACATTAAGAATAAAAGTCCACCTCTCTGGATAGAAGAACGTTTTAATTTGCCGCGAAAGATGACTTGTTAAAACCCAAAAAACATGGGTTCTCCAAGGTCATGCTCTGTTTCCATTGCCTAAAGCGCAAAATCTGCAGTCAACTCACTGGGTACGTTGGAACGTCCAGGCACAATTCTTCGCTTAAGCGGGGCGTCATCACTTCTAGACGCGTCCACCTTGTATCCTAGAGGGACAGCAGGCTCAGGAGGCGGAACGCCTACGGACAAAATTAAAGATCCAACTGCCAAATCAGAGCCTAATAGAATTTTACACACACGCACAAACACGGCACTGCAGATGTGTGAAGATTAGTGAGGAGCCGGCTTGAGTGAACATTTTCGAGTGAATGGGTGCAACATTGACAAAACTTTCTACACTATAACTTATTAACCCAAATGGCATGGGAAAAAATATCACCTAATTCTGCTTAAAAGTAATAAAGTTTTCGAGAATACTAAGAATGCAAAAGTAAGTTCCCACCAAAAAGACGCATGGGATTATGAACAGCTTTTGCGTGATCAAAGCGTAAGCATGCAGATGCAGGGAGAAATTACAAGGTAGATGTAAATGAAGCGAATATCATGCAAAGCAATAAGACGGTACAATGAGGTAAAACTTTGTTTGATTTCGGCTATCCCTCTACGGTTACACGAACTCACAATTCTTTGGTAGAAGGCAAGCTCGGAAAGAGGGAGTATTAGGAGAAGAGAAGGAAGGAAACGAGGTCGAGGAGCTGCAGTGTGGGTCAGCTGATAAGTTGGTTATTAAAAACGAAACACTGAACAAGAACCAACACCACTGCCACTTAGCCCACTTCCACAGGTGGCTCAGGTGAGATGAGATCGCACGACGTGCTTACCCCTCACTTTGTTAGTATAGGCGATAGTTGGTTCGGCAAAGTGCTGAGAACTCGTGGCCCTTCGAAGCGGTGGTAGACTCGCCTGTCCAGCAATCTGCCTCTCGGTCGGTCGCGATCGATGATACTGAGATGGCTGCTGTCTGGCTGCACTAACATCCCTGCTCCTGCCCTCGTCAACTACCCGATTGAGCGAGGACGTGAAGATGATGATGATGGAAGGGGGAGATAGATATAAACACCGCATTTAAATGACAGCGATGACGAACCGGATAAACAAGCGTATGCTACTATTAACAGCAGCGCCCATGAACCAGTGAGCTTCCACACTCCTTGCCCTAATCTGCTTGCATGATTGCGCTTTAATGTTTTAGTGGGTTAGGTAGGCTTTAAAGCTACCCAGTCGTGCACGGGTGCCTCTAAAACAGAACAGCGAACTAAGCAGCCGACATTTAACGAAGAACTAAAGTGAGCTTTATGGGGGAAGAGCACCAGTGAACAGTGGAAGTGGGAGGGGGAAGGAAGTAAAGCGAAACAAGTATACGCGAACACACAGAAGCCAACTACACAAAAAAAGAACAGCACAATCAAAAAGCGCGACAGGCATAGCGGCTGAAAGGTGCTGAGTAAATGAATGGTCCTGATGGCGGTGGTGATCACGGGGAGGATACGCGCGCGTGCTATCTCGAAAGCGGAAGACCTCCCCGGTCTCACTTCCACTCTCTCTCACCCTCTCCATTCGCATACATGCATCTGAGAAGGGAGAGATTAGAAAAAAGAGATAGGAGCAACAGGAAATTTGCGAAAAATTTATGTGATCATGAGAAATGGGTGGAAGAGCATGCACCTTTTCAGATGACACGCACACGCAGTGTTAAATTACCGAGACCAAAGTAGTTGCTGCTGAAGCAAGGAAGAACACTTACCGCCACTCCCACCACCAGCTGAAGCCGTAGTTTTCTTGGCGATTCGCATGGCAGGATTCGCAGAGACAGCCCGCCTGGGGGTACTGAGAGCGGAGTGTTGGTGTTCTAGTAGTAGCTGCTGATGATGCTTGCGAATGGGATGATCCTCGGGCAAGAGGTCGGGTTTCACGTATAGCGCGTAGGTTGTATATGAAGAGGACTGAGTAAGGAAGCAGCCGCTATGCCTGCCGTTTAGATAACTAGCTAGGCGGGCCTCAAAGGCTGCCTGAGAGCGTAAAACAGCCTCATTAGCTCTCGTACAGATGGAACGCGGCGCAGAGCTACCAAATGCCACTGTGAAGGAGGTAGCCATGCGATCACCGTTGGCAGAAGACACGACGGTGGATTTGGAAGGAATGTGAGAGGAACGCATGTTCTGTGCTTGACGCAACTGCTCGGACATGTTTGTCGTGCGATCACGGTTTCTTTGAAGAAGGGTCTGCATGTGATCCTATAAAAAGTGGATTGACGTTACACACGGTAAGACATCCCAGATTCCCTGCTGGGATCCAGGCCAAAGGCCGTAAGACCACAAGCGAGTAAGTCAAATGGAAAGAAACTCAACCGAAATCATATGTTCATGTGCGGGAGACTAAGGAAGAACCAGTCGTAACATTAAATGACCACCAATAAAAACTACTAACAAAAGGGACCAATGAGATGCAGAGTATATTGATATTCTGATTGACTGGAGAAGTGTGTTTACCCATGGTAGCGTTCAAAATCATTTTAGAAAGAAAATACGTGAGTGATTGTCCAAATAATGTTAAATTTTGCAGGAAACAAAGAGCACCACGAAATCCAAGCCGAACACATCAGATGATAATTGTAAGATAGACTTGAATGTGATTGACTTGGGGGAATCAATCCTCATTTACTCTATCCGTCTCATGCACTGCTTACCAAAAGGTGTGATTGAAAAGTCATGTGGCAAATCTTACCAGTTTGAAATAGCACTACTGTCTCCCTCAATCCGAAACCACGAATTCAAAAAGTACTTGAGAAAAGCAAGTGTGCATCCAACACAACCTCAAAGAAACAATATGCAGGATCCATCACAAGAATCCTGACGCAAAGAGCGTATTACCGTGAAGTAAATGAAAAGCAACAGTTTCGTAAGTGCATAAATCCGAGTGCCAGTAGGATTCAATAAATGTACTGACTCAATGTAGGTCAACTGTCTCAACCATTTCCTTTTAAAAAGCCATCCCAAACTAGTCAAAATTCAGACAACGAACGTATAACAAGACGGAAAGGAGATCATCTGATGAGACCGCATCGCAATCGATGGGAAAGGAATCAGCTAATTATCCCTCTTAATTCGATACGAGTAAGACAGTACGCAATTTACTAACCTTATACTGGCGTTCAATCTCTTTTTTTGTTTCATGAGCCTTCCGTTGGCGAGCCTCTTCACGCTGACGCGTTTCTTCTATTCTTCGTTTACGTTCTTCCCTCTGCTTCTCGCGTTGGGCCTCGGCCCTTTTTTGTGATTCAATCAGCTGCAGGCGACGCTGCTCAGTTCGTTGTTGCTCAACTTCCGCGATCAGCTTCCGACGCTGTTCCGAAGTTAGCCCATTACTAGCCCCATTGATAGGTGAGCTGATTGAAGAAAGGTGTTGCGTAGAGCCACTATTTGCAGCTATTGGTGGTGTAGAAGCAGAAGCGTTCTGTAGTGAAATATCCTCTACAACAAACGAGTATTTCATTAAATTAAAAAAATTAGACCACAGAGAGTCTAGAGGAGGAGAATCAATAGGAGGAAAGTAACATCGCATAAAAGACTTCCAGTAACAAAAAGATAAGCGGAGACGATTTACCGACCGACGATAGAACACAAGCTTCCTTCAAATTCGCTGCCTTATGCAATCGAGCGTAAGGAAGTAATACAAACTTGCTCTTGAGTGAACTAACAGCACCTTTCCCTTTTATCTCATTTGTACAATGGACAGCGCCAAACTCACCGTTTTCCGCCATATTATGGACGCCAGAATGTTTTGAATCAAGCGGCTCCATAACCATTTATTATAATTTATTTTTAGATATGTGTGACTAATTATTGTAAAATTAGATTTGCATTTAGTTGGGTTTTTACATGCTTGCTAAGATAAATTTTATTCTACACTCACAATTAGTCGGAAGGTAAGTTATGTGTTAAAAACCATCAACTCGGGAATAGGGCATTGATGGCGGTAATACATTGTCGTTTCGCAGCCGATAAGGTGATTCAAGTGGAGGGTATAAGTTACTGCCATAGTCAAAAAAAGGGTTTAAAAAGCGCTCAATATTTTGTCTATAGTAATGTTCCTTCTCAATAGCCTGATTGTATGACTTCTTTGAAGGAACTTTATCGTTCAAAATGTCCCAGACAAGTCTAGATGTAACCAGGTGTGTAGTCTCTCCATCCATACTCTCGTATCCTTAACCTCGACCTTCATTGGTTGGTTTGTGTTTTAGAGAAATTTTTGGACTCTCGAGAGTGGTTATTTACCTCGATAAGGATTTGCCAGTACTAGTTATGCTTACACTTTTGTACAAGCGGCCCAATATTACTACATAGCATCTCGAGACTTCCCATTATTATAAGAAGGCATTTAGTGGAGCTGAATAAATGTAATTCAGTGAGATCAAAGGAATTAAGCCTCGTCATGGCCTAAAGGCCAGCCCTCGCGTACAAAGGCCAAACGAATCTTTAAAGCTGTAGCGTCCCGAGGCTTCCAATGGGATAGCAGAAGGCATAAGTGCGGTTGAATGCATGTATTCCGAAAGCAATAGGAGAAATGGGGCCTGAGCGTAACCCAAAGGGTCCAGACAAGTTCTAAAGTGACCGCCAAACGTCAGATAGTCGCATAAACAAATCATTACAAAAGCAGCCTTCAAACATCAGGTGATCACATTAACAAAGTAGAACACTGCTCCTACCTTCTGTTAGGCGATGTCGTTTGGTACACTTCCCGCGCCAGCCACCACAATCTCCAGTACTGCAAGAATAAAAAACGGCACTCGGTCTTCTCAGTAGCTCCTGGTCTAACATCCAGAATTAAGACTATGTACATCTATTTGCCATCACTTGCTTCCAGAACTAAATGGTGGGACTCGGGTCTGATATCTATACGAATATTAGTACGGGAATTTTCGATACGGAGCCAATCCAAACGGATCACGACAGTGTCGCCTCAGTGGCTATTATCTTGTCTGTGGGAAACTTAAACAAGTTGAAACCAAACGCGGATATTATTCTCAACTCTTATGTCGTGAAAAAATCAGACTCTCCAGACACTAATGTTGATGCGCCTCCTCCACAGCAGATGCGTGTCGCAAATAGTAGATACTAGGAAATAAATCGTTAAAGAATTCGGATTGGCTCTCCTCTGCCACCAGTGTGGCGCCTCGAGACTTCCCACCGAGTGGAAGAAGGCAGTAAGTGAATCTGGATGCATTCGTTTTTGGGAAAGGAAGGAGCTTAAGTCGGAGGTTGGCCCGACTGCCAGTCCACGCGTACAAGGACCAAAAAATACCAAAGGGACCACCAGACATCAGGTGGTCACCTCAACAAATTATTACAACCATATTTACAGCTCAAAAGTAGAATTCAACTGTTTAATTAATGTCAGCAAATTCAAAGTGCCGGTAAACACCGCTAAAATCAGGCGCACAATTGCGTTGCAAGGCGTCTCATGTGCTCGATGTGCTCTAACAAGGCAGAACTCGCACCAGCACAATTCAGGCAACTTCCAACACCAAGTGACGGTAAGAACACCCAGTAAAGACTGCGAATAAGATGACGACCGATCAAGCGTAAAAGTCAAGACAATGCCTTATGGTCTAACATCCCAAACCATCTCACCAATGTGGATAGTAATGGCGAAGGTGTGAACCACATTTGGCGTTCTCAGCCAATTTCTTCAAGTACAGCCAAACGCTAGTCAGCCTCCTCGCCTTTCCGGATTAAAAAAAAAACATACTCCGCACCAAACCCACTTTTCTCACAGCTGACAAAACATTCTATCTAAGAAGAATTAGAATTAATTAAACATTACTTGATCATAATTGAAGCAGTAAAGGTTATTTACTACTTATTTATGTGTGTAATCATAGAGTCGCATTCGATGTTGCACATGTAGGATCCCCAGCCTACCCTCAGACTCCTGAACCTCTAACTTCTTAAGAAGGTTGGTTAGAGAGGATTAGTTTGGCATCTTCTACAGAAACGAAAAGGAAGGTATCGATGAGACGATAAGCCAATGTCACTCCATGGATGTGTCTTCGCGATTCCTCACGAAGGAGTTTTATGTTCGAATTGCTTGACCGCCTCTCTCCCCTAAAGCCAACCTAAACACATTAGTGCATAATACAGATACAAGTAGATATATTTTAGCCTCATTTTACAAGTTATTTTTTGTATTACCACTGAATAGATATGGAAATTTATTGCCGTGTCAGCATGAAAATCTACAACAAATAATAGCACTCCGACCGCATAATGCATTGTAAAAATAGGATTTCGCAACACTCATTTTGACCGCCTTTTTATGGTATTTACGTCGGTAGTGGATGTTTGAATTGTCCTTTGTGGAAAGAGGGCGCAAATTTTGATTCGGCCAGTGTGTAAGTGGCGTGTGTGGGCGCCAGCCCTGTCAAATGCCTAGCAAATGTTCATCCACTCGTCCCCCTCCTTAAAGGCCTGAGAATAAGGACGAAGAATGGGCTTGTACACGATCATTAGAAAACGTGTATTAGCACCACAATTATTGCTACAAGAACAAGCTTTCCGGAGGCTTGACACTGCAGTTGGGGATGTGCGTAGGGTAAGGTCTTCCTCCGCTCGCATTGCCTTTAAGATGAATGGCCTTCAGACTATGCTAAAGGCTTAGCCCCCTTCCTTTACGCTTAAACGTGCATTATCAAGCCCAATACAGTGTCTCTAGACGACTTTGACTCAAATTCTCACCCTAGTTTTCATCGTTCGGCAAAGTAGTGGTGAAGTACTTTGTTTGTGGGATCTCCTGTATGTCTAACGGTTACTTTGTCATTCGCTGGCTCATGTACCCATCAGCTGGTCTTCGGGTCAGGCCAAAGCCAAATCCCTGCTTCTTCGCCTAGGATGCATGCATCGAATCCCGCTTAGTGTCTCCTTCCACCCAATGAGAAGTTTGGAGTCGCTACAATAGCCATCGCCCACTTAACAGTTGGCAGAGCTCTCCGTAGGGTCTTGAGACTTCCCATTTAGTAAAAAAAGAAGGTAATTAGATAGGACTGAATGCTTGTATTTAAGAAGATGGTGGAGGAATTTGGTCTTTGGCTTGGCCCAAAGGCCAAAAGAAGTATTAAATCGAGCCGCTCGCACTTTCAAATCTCGTTAAAAAACTATCCGGAAGTGCTTAATAACGTTGAAATGAAAAATTTCTATGCAGTCGCATAGGAATTGGTGACTGTTATGGCAAGTTTATAAGTGTTTTCTTTCAGTTCTGATTACGCTGGGCTGGCTGATGGGAGGTGTCGCTCAAAAGAAGACAGGGCCGAGTAGTGCTTTGCTTTTCTGACTGCTGGTCACTAAAGTGGCCACGTTAACTTTGCAGGTCAAATCTAGAAGCCTCTATTTTTCCTCTCTTCTGTTAAATATAGATTAAATTAACTCATGTATTATGCTTTTTACTATCTCACCGAACTACTTACATCATCAGCAAAGAGAAGGTAATTAGTGCTGTTTGCATAACTCAGTTGCTAGTCCCTACGTCCAAGACAATATAGCTGCAAACAAAAATAAAAGGTGCAGGATTGGTCCCTTGTTTGAAGTCCTTTCTCCCTTACTGCCGATCGACCGAGTCTTCTGTGGCCCCTACTTCATCAATTGAGAGTGAGCTTAAGCTTATCAGCATGGTAGCCTAAAGACCACCAAAGGAGCAAAAACAATGCAGAAAATTAGGATTTGGTTATTCTCTCTATGGTATTAACGACGTCAAAATAATCAGTGCAAACTCAAAATACTAACGTTGCACTCGCCACGATCTTCTTTTGTGCGGATTTACCCAAGTTTAAGATTACTTAAGACTCTAATGATGCCTTCTCGTATGTAGCCAGCTTGATTGTAGTTCGTCGGTCATATTTCTTCTAGAACGATTGAATGCGACATGTGCTCAGCGGAGCCTCATTGGTCGTTACCCGCTTCCGCAGGTTGGCAGTGCTTCCCCATCGACACAGCGAACTGAACTACTCAGTATACTTCCGTATACTTGTCAATGTATAAGCATTGTGCTAATAAATTATAAGTAGCAAGTTAAATCGTGGTAAACCAAATTAGACCTATTGGTACGATTCGGTGTCTAAGGACAACCAAACACGAAGACTAAGGCCTCCTATTCTTTTGCAAGTCGAATGCAGGGGTATTAACAGTTTTATCAAGCTACCAATCCATCTCGTAGTCTCAATATTACCCTCTGGGAAGTTCGCAAGCAAGTCTATCAACTTTTCGCACTTTGTAAAACAGTAAATTAGAACACCGCTAAATGAGCGGAAAGTCATTTGAAAAGCAGAGCTCCGCCTCGATTGATTGTGAGCTTCACCAAGGGCATCCAATTGTTGACGTTCATGTCAACTGTTTATCCCAAGCATTAAGTTAAAGTAAAGATAAATTTTGCTTCACACAACTACCTCATTCTCGATTGATGTGATTACATAAAGGAGAGGTGGGTGGAAAGAAAAAAAGAGAAAAGACATTAAAGTAAGGAATTGAAAAACATGTTCAGAAGACAGTGCTAGTGAAATTAAGGAGAAATGGAAGGGAAGGAGGGCATACCAGTAACGGTGCCTGAAGACAATAAAGAACGAGATCGGGGTAGTGAGTGGGTAGTATGTACAACAACAACAACTATCATTGCAAAGTGCGGAAAGGGTGATGGAATAGGCAGATTGACAATGGAATTGTCATGTCTAAGCACAACACGCATACACACAAACACTGAGAAAGATAATGAAGTCATGAATGTGGATGGCATGCCGATGTCTACGACTGCAGTGGGTAAAGGAGGGCGAGTAATATCATGTGTGCATATGCACACAACACCAACATAAACAGTTTGTCCGCGACTCTTTTTTCTCGTTCACTTTCATTGTTATTGTTGCCGTTGTATATGAGTAGGTGGTAGAAAGGAGCACGTAAATGCACGCAGCACACTAAATGTAGTCGTAGTAGTGGATGTCATTCACACTCACAGTGAAAACACGTGGAGGAGAGGCACGCATCGCATCAAGTTGTTGTTGAATGGATGGTTATTGGAAGGAGGAGGGAGAGGGTAAGGCATAACGATTAAGGGTGGTGAGAGGGAGAGAGAGAGAGAGAAGAGCATGGATAGACGTGTGCGTTAAAAGTCAGCGAAGTCCTTGGCGCACTTCTCCGTTGCCGATATACGCAATGGCTCCTCCTCGTATTCGTCAAAGTTGTCCGCATCACCGGGACCTTTGCACTTGGGCACAAATGGCGCCTCAGCCTTAAGGGAGAGGAAGAACCCGCTTTCAATGCACAATGCCGTCGAAATCTCTGCTAAGGGGCATGCCGGCGACATCGAAATTGAATTAAGTGTAGTCGAAGGCGACGCTCACCTCACACTTGTAGATGACAAACCAATCAGTGGAAGCGAACCATTTGTGATTTTTGATGTCATTGACACCGTTCTTCAGGTTGCCATAGCGTTTCGTCAAGTCCACTTGAAGCAAATTGCGAAGGAGATCCTTCAGATCGGAGCTGAAGTGTGACGGAAATCGAACCTACAGAACAAAGCGCTGACGTGAACAGATCGCCTCCTCATCACTTTCAAACGAAGCGCAAGACTTCCGAGTGTTGTTGTCACTCAACCAAATGCAAACCCGGAGAGAGGATTGTAACACTAATGATTACCTATCTACGCCGGTTTCATAAGGTGCTGAAGTGCAAGAATACCAAAAGTTAACACTAACTTGTGGTCAAATGTGTGCAGCGCTCACAATTGCACCAACATTGTTTATTATGTCATGACGAGTAAGCCTGTAGTGATGCCTTCGTCTTTCACATTCCCAACCGCTGATGATTTGTTGGCTGGCATAAATTAGCAACGTTGGTTAGTTAATGAAGGACACGCAGTCCCTTTTACATTTTACACCGAACACGTCTCTCGTCCAACGAAAGCGCAGAAATCGGCAGAGCGTATGGCATGAACACACTCTCAATGACTGTGCAGACAAAGGAATGCGACATTATCGTGCCAGTCGGTGTGAAGTAGCTAGGTTCAGGCGCTCTCGTCATCTGAGTGACGAATGTGCCTTTCCTTGGCGAAAAAATAAGGGTTTCTTTAGAAAGTCCCCTTTTCATCGCTCAGCAATGAACCACTATGATGTACACCCAATCAACAAGATTTCAGGAGGACATATTCCTGAAGGTACATTTCACTCAGAAGAAGCACCATCAGCAGGTAATACATCAATGACCCGGAGCACTTTGGGTTGAGGTTGAGAGCAAGAGCCTTGTGCGAACCAGAAGAGGGTGACAAATTCGATTCTGGAGATGATATTCTCCCAAGGTAAAGGATGGGTTGGTTGTGATAATGGAACAGACGCCGGTCGGCATCTCTCCGTACACTGTGTCCATAGCACTCGAGCACGCACTGGGCCGGCATAAGCAATTGTTTGCTCTTTCGACTACGACACAGACAGTTCATAAGGAAAATCGGTATTTCAACTTAATGCGTGGTGTGAAGAACTAATTTACTCCGCTAGACGATACACCGTCCAACCAGTGCGACTGCTGTGACTTCAAATCGTAAAGTGAGTTGGCGAATGGCAGACCTTGCTACTAAGACGCATTACACAGTCACGGTAAAATGGATACCCCAACTAAAACTTCTGCCAGCCTTGGAGAACAACGAAAACATCCGGAAGTGAATGCCTTTCTAAGCATCCGCCATTCCACCGCCTCGAGGAGAAAGTGGAAAGAGCACGATTGGGAGGAGAGGCGAGATAAAGCATACCTTTCCAGAGACAATCTTCTCGTAAATCTGGATGGGTTGATCGGCGTAGAAGGGAGGATAACCGGCAGCCATTTCGTAGACTAACACTCCCAAGGCCCACCAATCAACTGCCTTGTTGTAGCCCTGAAAGAAAGCAAATACATGCTCCCATTGTTTACATAAAATAATATTACTGAAATGCTCAATTTTTAGGTAAGTGATGACAATGACGTTCCCCTCCCTGAAAGCAAAAGCCAAAAGTGGCCTGAGAAAGGGTTTAGCTAAATTGCAAACACGGAATGGCTGACGACGGGTTATTGCACAACTCAGCTTTCAAGATGAGCTTCAATCTATTTCGGTTGATTCAACCGGCCTCATCAAACGTTCTCTTGGAGCATTTCTTACTCGCATAGAGCTCATATAGAGTAGAGATCCAATGAAATGGCAGGCCCATGCGAAACCATGGTGGCCTCACTGACACCAAGTCCCACCAGAGACTAATAATCGAAGGTTGTAGAAATACAACGTTTAATTCCCTCCCCCTACCCCCTCCCTTTCCGCCAAACGTGGCTGCCCTCCATGAGGAGAACGCAGGTCTGAGACTGTAAGCTCCATCTACAGCCTCCACCTCCATCAGAAACAGCAGGAGCACAAGTAGACGTTCGCACCCACACGCACGCATGGCCAGTGGGATGATTGGGCGAGCGGGGGAGTAGACGTTGGCATTTGCGAGTGCGTACGTGTGTGGGCTGTGTTGAACAGACAGGCGGTGGTTAACCTCTCACAGACACGCGCGCGTACGTGCAAGCCTAACCGAGCGTGAATTCTCGACCGCACGCGCAGAAATCGATGCAAAAGTGCACGCACCTGTACACTTACGCACGCATATGTGGTAGTCTGGTTTGCACGCGCTTACACGTACGCACGCACGCATGATCCTCATTCTAACCCCGCTGTGAAGCTTCGTCGTGGTCCTTTTACTGCTTCCCCTAGGACAACCCTCTCCCCACTATTACTGCCTGGTGTCCCTCACCCTTTCTATGTCTCTCTCTCTCTCTCTCTCTCTCCCTTTCTCTTTCTCTCGCCATTTCAGCACCACCAAAACAAGTTGGACGTAAAGCACCACTAGGGATTCCCTTTAAGTGCTTCCATTACTTCAGATTGGCTACTTCAAAATAAGTGACAAATAACTTTGACATTCTCTTTTGTTGCTAACTTGTGATTAAACAAAGCAGAAGAACAAACCTGAAACAAAGAATGCGGAAAATAAAACGACTGGGAAGAATGCAGAGGGAGGGGCAAAGGGGATGGGGAAGGAATGATAATGCTCACCTTGCTTAGAATGATTTCAGGAGCTAGGTATTCAGGAGTGCCACAAAGAGTCCAGGTCCGACCCTTCACCCGTTTGGCAAAACCGAAATCCGTTATCTAAAAAGAATGACACAAAAAGGTAATCGTGAGGTCCTACAAATTACTGCAGCCTAGGCAATGCCAATGCAGGACGATCAGGCACTATGGCAACACTTTGGCCACATTGTCAGGTCAGCGTAAGGTTCAGCAAGAAAATATGCCTAATTTGTGTGTATGTGTGTATGGAGGTGTGTGCATGTGTACGCATCCGACCTAGGTTTAGTCAATGTGGTTTTTGCCTCCAAATAAACACTTCAAAATGACGAGGCGAATACGGTTAAAAGGAAACAAATGAACCTTTTGATCTGCCACTGTTTTGAACATTGAGAAAATAAGCTCCTCCTAAGTACCGCTATAAATGAAGTAACGTAGTTCTTGGCTATAAGAGACTAGAGAAGGCGAAGGTGAAGCATTAATAATGCAGTATGGGATCCAAAAATACTGCCATATCGTGATTTCGCCAAATCGAAATCGCATTACGATTATGACATCACAAAACCGTGTAGACTAGCATGCACTTTATGGACCATACAGCATCACCCGAGTCGTGGAAATCATCCAAAGGTGGAGCATGATTTTCAGGGCCTTAGCTACAATTTTCGAAATTAACTAGAAAGTTGGAAATTGCCCGGAGCGTTCCCCTCACGTGAATGAAGGCCCAATAGGGCAACATAACGTCTACGACCCACCTTGAGGTATCCATGCTCATCGATGAGGATGTTTTCGGGTTTGAGATCGCGATACACCAACTCGAGATGATGCAAATACTCAAAGGCCAGAACAACTTGGCTGGCATAGAAGCGCGCATGACTTTCACTAAAAAAAGTTATGTTCAGGATATCAGTCGATGTGGTATTTTTTTTAAAAAAACGGCAATAAGGTTAAGACGAAGGCGGTGGTTACGTGAGAAGGCGTCTGCGCAGATGGTATACAAGTGTCGGATGAAATTGGTAAATAAACTTCAATACATTTTCTCAAATACCTCAAGCCCAAATACGTAGTCCTTCATCGCAGGTTGTGGCCAGTAATGATGGCTTTAGGTCACCTCAACACCGTTACATTGTAAAGGTGGCTAGTTTTATCACCTGACCTCATATATAACTAGTAGGAAGGATTATACATAGTTCAACCTTTGCCATTCGTACGCATGATCGCTAAAGTAACTTCAGGCATTTACAAGACAATTACAACCTGAGGAG